ACCTCAACCCCCCCCCCCAGCTATTTGGCTTGAATCTCTAGTTCCTGCCCCTTCTGCCAGTACATGGATCCTATGGCTGCCCCTTGTCTGTGTTTCTGGGCAGGAGTGGGGGCCACATCCATCTGGGCCCTCTGCTGAGTGGGGACCAGTCATTCTGCTGCCCTGAACATCCCCGTCTGTGCTTTCTGCAGTGGCTTGTAGACGCTCTGACCCTGAGGGCCTGCCTGCACAGCATGGCCCTCCTGGCCTCTGTCACACTCCCTTCATTCATTCATTCACCCATTCAGCTGTTGCTCACTGAGCATCTTCTCTGTGCCAGGCCACTGGGCTGGGGCTAGAAGGCTGGACGAAGACAGGGGAACCCGGCCCCATGGCGCCTCTGGTCTCTCCAAGGATGCAGGCATATGAACGGCCCTGGCTGTGAGTGCCCAGAGGCACCTGAGCCAGACCTAGGAAGAGAATGAACTGGTCATTGCGGTGCAGCGATAAGGGTCAGGGTGTTTGCCAGGAATTAAAAGCACTTCCATCTAGCCAGAGTGGAGCAGCACGTGGGGAGACTGAGGGGTATGGGGGGGTCTATAAACTGGGCTGCTGAGTAGAAGAGGAACTGGCGACAAGGAGGCCACAGATGTGGCGGCCGAGACACAGATGAACCTGAAGGGGGAGTAAGAGCAGGGCTCACGGGGCTTGGTGCACTGGTTGGGGTAAGGGGTGGGGAAGGAGGAGGCTGTCAGTCCCCCCTAGAGGGGTGTAGGGAGTAGAGTTGGGCTCTGAGACATCCCCATGGGGCTGGGATTAGGATCAGGCAAAAGAGGTGCCTAGGAGACTATGTTTGGGGTGATTGCTTCCAGCCTTCTGTTCCTTTCTGTGTCCTGCCCAGGTCCTCTGAGATTTCTAAGAAAGATCCATTCTGGAAAGTGGAGGCTGGTCTTAGAGACGGGGAACAGGTCTGTTCCTCTGAACAAAGTCATTCTAACTGACCTGAGTTTGGACACACTCCCTCCCAGGGGTCTGGCAAGGGCCATGCAGTTCCAGGCAGGATGTGCCCCTGGGTTCTTCAACTCCTACCCAGGAGTGCTGTTTTTTCTGCCCTCTCCAGGGCTGGGGCAGGCCAGGATTGACACCTTGGGGTCTCACGTGGTCTGGAGAGGTACCTATTCAGCTTCTCCCTGCATGCCTCGCTTTCAGGGAGCTCCCCCACCTGGGCAGCCCAGTCCTACCTGGGCGTGCACCACCATAACACATGTTTTATCCTGAGCTCAAATCTGTCTTGCACTGTCTTCTACCTAACAGTGGCCTCAGTCCTGGTGCCTGCCCTCCTCCATTCCCCAGGTGGGGGTGCTGATCCCCTTTCCCCAGATAGCTTAACCTCTCTGAGCTTCAGCATCCACCTCTAAAAGAGGAAACCGTAATAGCCACTGCCTCCTAGGGCTGCTGTGAGGACTGAACGATGTGAAGTGCATAGTCCTCACAGCATATGCTAACTGCTCCATACCTGCTCCTAACCCATAATACCACTAAACAGCACGGAGTGGGACACTGGCCCCCTCTTGTGTGGGCTGCCCGAAGCACAGCCTTAGCCCGGGCCTGACACACGCCTGCTGGCCTCAGCTAACAGCCCGTCTTCTGTCTGATGTAGAGGAGAGCTAATCGTGAAGGACTCGTTCGTGGGAGAGAGGAAGTGCCGTCTTGGAGCGGCAGAACTGCATGGACATGGAGGTCTGCCCCGCTGGTATGGAATAACCCTCTGCTCCACATTCTTTCCAGCAGCTCCCGCCCGAGCCCCTCCCTGTTGGTCCCCTGCTCCTCAAGTCTCTCAGGGGAACCCGTGGTGGTTAAGAAGGGCAGAGGGAGGCTCAGATCCAGCCTGACTGAGATGCATGTCTACAGGGGTTTCTGGGGCATGTTGGCAGATCCTGTCATGCTGTGAGGTGGCCCTGGTAGTGATCTCTCCTGAGCCTGTGGGACCTGTAGAGTCTGGGATTCCTTAGGAAGGGAAGAGCCTGGGGCAGGGGCCTGCTGGAACCCAGAGATCAGAAGAGCCAGTCCCGGGGGTCAGCACGTGGTATGGTGGTTAAGGCTCTGGATTCCCACATGGCTGACTGCAGTTCAAGTCCCAAATCTGACAGCTTGCTTTCTCTCTTTCTCATGGGCACACATACCCTATAGCAAATTATAAACAAATAATAATACATAAAATTAAATAAATCTTTAAAAAAAAAAAAAAGAAGAACCGGTCCAGTGAAGTAGGACACCGGTGCTGCTGCCCGGTCTCTGCAGACATCTTGTCACCACCCCCGTCCTGTGCCAGCCCAGCCCAGGAGCCCTGGTCTGCAGGGGCAAGGCTGGTCCCTTCCTCAGGGTTCTCTGCTTCTGCTCTGGATTTCCCTGCTGGAAACCAGAGCTCTATGTGGGGCAGCTGTAAGTGCTGCTCGAGAGGAGCCAGATCCCACAGGGTGACCATGGTTCGAATCCCTAGCCTAGTCAGCCTGAAACATGCCAGGCATGGTTTGAGTGCCTAGGATCTGGTGGAGGAAGGGGACTGTGGCTTGACCAGACCCTGTGGAGGGAGCTCGTGTCTCACTGTCTCATGCACGTGTACACACTCCAGCTCGAATAACTAGGGGGAAAAAGCAGAGCTTATCTCCAGGGAAATTGAGGAATCTTTTCTTTTAGATTGTAAGATAAGGTAATCATTCTCTTCTGAGGGGAGACAGCACCACAGGTGGGGTGGCCCTGTAGGGGATGTCAAGTCCCCTGGGCAGCTTTGGGGTGCTGGGTGTGGAGGCCGCGGGGTGTGTGCGGGGTTGGTCAGGAGCCCGTTGTGTGGAGGACGCACTTGCCTCACTTGCTTTCAGCCTGGGGGGCGCAGCGCAGGAGAAAAGGCTTACCCAAGGTCTGGCAGTGGTTAGGGCCTGGGTTAGGAGGGGGCAGGTCCCTGTGGGCCCCTGCACACCTCTGCCGAGCCCTGGGGTGGGCTCCTCTCCCCAGGGTGTGCCAGGGAGGGAAGGCTGACTGAGGCTCCATCTGCGGTTGGGTTGGAGGGCCTGACACCTAGAGGGGCAAGGTCCCCAGAAGGTCTGGCTCTGCACTCTCCCTGGGTAGGGCCTGGACCAGGGCCCAGCTTTGCTCTGTGCCTCAGTTTCTCCGGTTGTATGGAGGGGTTCATACCTTCTGATCTGGCTGTGCTTGGTTACCCCTCAGGGCCACAGTGCCTCAGGGTGAGGGCTCAGCCACAGAGCCGCTCACAGCTGGGAGAACAGGCCTGGAGACAGCACAGGAGAGGCTAGGGCCCCAGGGTATTCTGGGCCCTGGACCCAGCACTGAGGGTGTGGCCGCAGCCAGGAGAGCGGACTGCAGGGGCCAGTGCCCTGCAAAGCCCAGACCTTTTGTGTCTCAGTTTTCTTTTACCTGCCCTCCAGCCGGCCTAGCCTGGGTTCACAACTTCACCCAGCTGTGCGTGTCCGTGTCCGGAGGCAAGCCCCCTCCCCCACACCCCCCAATTATGGCTGGTCACAAAAGCTGAACCGTGACCAGACAAAGGGATAGGGATGAAAGTGCTGGTTGGCATGGTAACCTGGTGGGGTTGCTGGGACCCAGGGGAGGGGCCTGGCTGTGTGCCTGAGCCCAGGCATCCGACGGCCTCCAAGCATGAGCCAGGGTGGCCCAGAAGCCCACAGCCATCCCCCTCTTACTCAGGGCCCACCAGGGTCGGGCGTGGCATACAATGACAACCTCGCCCCTTGCACCTGCTCCCTGGGCCTCCCCCAGTGGCTCCACCTGCTCCCCAGCCGGGGTGCCCTCCCCGAGGCACTCCCAGCCTATCCCCAGGCCCAGCTGCCTTCTCTGAGGGCTGGTGAAGGGGACTGTGGGACCAGGAGGGGCAGCAGGGAGGGCTCTGGGCAGGGGAAGAGGCCCGGCTCCAGCCGGCTTGGCCTGACCAGCAGCAGAGGTCTCTGCAGTAGGGTCTCAGTCTCCTCCCTGCGAAGTGGGAGTAGCCATTCCCGCCCTTACAGGCTCCTGGAGTGCTTTCCTCTGTGCAGAGAGAGCTAGAGGCTTTAACCCCTTCAGTATACTTCGGAGCCACTGCGTGGGGGCCTACATGACATTTCTAGAGGCCTCTCTGGAACATTTACTGAGAAACTGGGTCGGGCACCCACCCATTAGTGCCAGGCCAGGCTTTTTCGTTTTGTTTCTTTAGTGCACATGTACTCCTCAGAGACAGAGAAACAGAGGAAAAAGCACCTGCCCATGGGGAATGGCCATGCCACAACTCCTTCTCTTCCGTCTGTCCCCTCTTTCAGGATTTTGGGCTCACATGCACAAGTGCCCAGTGTGTTTTTCAGGTTGCTGGGTCTGGAACTGGTACTGTGGAGTTCAAGCCATGTGGAATCCAGCTGCCTTAACCACCAGGCCGTGGAGCCTGCCCAGTGGGAGGTTCTCGAGCGCCTATGGGGAAAGCTGGGGAGAGAGACATGGTGGAGTGGGAACCACCCCCCACACAGAGAGTATGACTGCTGCTCCGGGGGGAGGGGAGGGGCTGTCCCTCATGTCCCCACAGTCCAGTCTTCCATGAACAGGTGGGGAAACAGAGACCCTAGGAGCCTTTCGAGTCAGGCCTGTCAAGCTGGCCACCTGCAGGCTTCCCGCTGCCCCACTGCCAGATAGATGGTGGAAGGGAGGAGAGCTGGGGGTGGTGGGGGGAGCGGGAGTGAGAGGCCCAGGCACATACATGCTCCTCCCCTTCCTAGAAAGGGAAGTGGGATTCCCATGGCAACCGGCCTTTGTCTTGTGGCCCATATTCCAGTGGCTCCCTCCACCCTACAGGACAGTCTGAGTCCCCATGCCACTCTGCTGCTACTTTTTTTTTTTTTTAGAGGTTTTCACTATAGGGCGCGTGCACTCGCCAGACAGACAGAGACAGAGAGAAAGCGAGAAATCACCCCCCAGGGGGGATGGCCACGCTGCAATCCCTTCTCCTCCATTCTCCTCTCAGGCTCGTGGGCACGCACACGCGCCCAGCGTGAGTTTTAAGCCACCGGGTCCGGGATGTGAACCACGGTCGACTACGTGGGAGTCCAGCACCATAGCCATTACACTAACTGCTGGTCCCCCCTCTGCTGCTACTTTGGAAGGCCCGTCCACCTTGCCCTCTAGCTTGACCCAAATTGTGGGGGCAGATTGCCAAGGAAGCTGTCAGCTCCAGCTGCCATTCCAGCTGTTTGAACTGTCCCCAAGCCAAAGCAGGCAGGCCATTTGCAAGGCGGGGTAGGAGAGCTGCCCTCTAGTAATGAGGGATTCCTCTGAACAAACCCATCCTATCTGACCTGCTGGGAGTTTGGGCATACTCCCTCTCAGGGCTCTGGCTAGGGCTGTTTTGCCAGGAAAGGAGGACTTTGGGGGTAGTGAAACAGTCCCAATGTCTTTGAGACCACTTTGCTGGGGTGACCCGAGTGTGGGGCTGGGCAAGGTTTGTGTTCCCTACTCTGTAAATGGGAAGACCAAGGTTTAGCAAAGGAAAGGACTTGTCCAGGGCGTCATCGGAGAACCCAGGCCTCCAGTCCTGCTCATAGCCTTTTCTAGTGTTTTCTGGCAGCCTGGCCCCTAGGGTGGCCAGCCTGGGGAGGAGTAGGAGGGAGGGCCCAGTGAACATCAGCAAACCTGGGCTCCTTGGAGGGCTGGAGTGGGGGCATTTGGTGGATCATGAGGTTAAGGATGAAGCCACCCACTCTGCTGAGACATCACTCAGCTGACATCAAGCCCCTTGGGGCCAAGGGGAAATCAGAGGTGCTCAGAGCCCCATTATGTAAACAACTACTTCTGCATCTCCTTAGAGCTCCCTAGAAATGTCTTGGCACTTCACCCAGACAGGTGGGAGACTGGTAGCGATCCCCACCAGTTGCACCTCATGAAGGGCAGAGCCTCAGCATCTTGGGCCCTGTTCCTGGCATGGTCTCAAATCTAGATCCAAAGTAATAGGCTGGGAAGAGGGAGCGAAGGGGAGTCGTGTGCAGCTGGGCTGGCGTTGAAGACCGCCATCTCTCGGTGGTGTCCCACGGTGGGTCACTGTATCTCCTAGCCTTTTATTTATTTTTTTACTTGCCAGAGAGTGCATTTGCTTGCCAGAGACCGAGAGACAAGAGAGGGAAAAGGAGAGTGCACCCCCAGGGGTGTGTGGTTCCACGCCAGTCCTTCCTCCTCCATTTCGCCAGCTGTCAGGAGTTAGGGCACATGCGCACACATACTCAACCTGTTTTTCCAAGCTGCCAGGGCCAGGATCAGAGCCATGCAGTCAGCCCTGTGGGATCTGGCTCCCTTAATCACTCCCAGCCCTTCCCTAAGTATTCATCCTGCACTGGGGCAGGGTGGGGGGGGGACTACTGGGAAAGCTCCCTGGTCCCCACAGCTTAAGTCCACCCTCCAACTGGGGAACACATGAGTGACCGCTGTAAGGTCCCCTCCCAAGAGGTAGCGACCATGATCCCTGGGACCTCTGGAGAGTGTGTTCTGTGGACCAAGGCACGCAGAAGGCTTCCCCAGGAGAGGCAGCCTGAGGGGGGTTAGAAAATTACAGAAAAGCGGAGGAGGTTGCAGCTGGGAGGCTCCATGAGGTAAAGACGGAATGGGCTGGGGAGAGCGGCAGTAGCCTCCAGCCCTCCAGGGCCCTGGAGACAACGACCGCACCCTTCCCAGCTCTGGACTCTCAAGGTCTTGTCTGGCAAGGTGACCACGTGGGTCAAGAGTTCATTTGCCTCCATTCTTACTCAGCAAAGATGCATATGCTGGTCAGAAATGAAGATACTGGTTAGAGCTGCCACGGCCAGCTGCCGAATACAGGAGTGGGGGCCTGGGGAGGAGGAGCCCTAGAAATCATCCACCCTCTGACACCCCCGTGTCTGCAACTCAGAGCCTTGGGCCTAGAAAACCAGAGAGAGCTCCTAGGGGCCCGAGAGGCAGGTGGGGGCAGGTGGGGAGTGAGTAGCTCTAGCCACTCAGCCCAGATGCCTGTCACCCTCTGTTCCGGCTGGCCGGCCACACGAAGGGCCCATCCTGCCGCCCATTCACACAGGGCTTTCATTTCTGCAGTCAGTGAAGCATTGCTGCCGCCTCGGTGCTGCCAGCAGGGAGATGCGGCTGGGGAGCCAGGCCTGCCATGCTGGCAGACGCCATGCCCAAAAGCATTCGGCCAAGACTTCCTGAGCAGCCTGTCTGCCCCAAGTGCCGAACTTCCAGGCCACCAGAGTCGTCCTCAGCAAGGGGGGCTTGGAGCAAGAGACGGGCAGAGGCCCCCTCTCCCCCACACACACCCCTCGCAGAAAGCCAGTCTCCATTTCAACAAGGCCAAGGCTGGCCTCACTTTCAGCCCATGCAGGGCAACAAGAGGGGCAGGAGCCCAGCGGTTTCCCAGGGAGCCGGCTGGGTGTGGCAGGGGGGGCGGGGAGGGGAGGCCGAAGCCTCAACTCCTGCCCAGCCATGGAGGGCATGGGAGCATGAGCAGGAAGTACTCGAGACCTAGGTCCCAGATCCCACAGTCCCCTGCCTACGAGGGAGGCAGTCACAGTCACAGCTCATACCCAAAGACGGGTGAAGGGTTGGTAGGGCTGCTGGGACAAGCAGCACCCCCTAGCCCCCACACCTCAAGCACCCCCCTCTACTTGGAGGACAGTGGTGACCACTGCATAGTAGAAAGTGAGTGGCCCTGGAGCCAGGTCTGCTCAGAGTGGACCCTTTCAGCGTGTTTGTCTGTCCAGCAGCTATGGCCCCTATGATGTCACCAGCCCACTGTGTTGCTTGGCAACTTCCCAGGATTAGCACTCTGCCCCTATCATCCCTGACGTCCCACATGGGCTGATGTTGCTGTGGCAACCCGGGTGGATACTGCAGCTTTTTGGACAGCTGTACCCGGTGTGGGAAGTGCCAGGCAAAATCAGACAAGCAGGTGTCTCTGCAGAAGCCAAGTGGGCTATATGGCCTCTCCCGAGACCCAGCAGGGAGCCAGGCTGACCTACATGAGGTTGGGGGGGCAGGGTCTCTGTCCCTTTGAAGAGCTGCGGCCTGCCTTGCCTCCAACCCCCCACCACTCCCTTCTGTAATGGTCATTGAGTAACTGCGAATCCAACAAAGGCAAATCAGACCATAGTTTGGGGTCAGGGAAGGTTGCATCAGCGTCAGGTCTTTTTTTTCTTTTTTTTGGAGAGGTTTTTTCGCTATAGGGAACATGCGCTCACCAGACAGACAGAGAGAGACATAGAGACAGAAAGCGAGAAATCACCCCCTGGGGGGGATGGTCATGCTGCAGTCCCTTCTCCTCCATTCTCCTCTCAGGATCTTGGGCACGCACGCGCACACACACGCACCCGGCATGAGTTTTAAGCCACCGGGTCCGGGACGCGAACCGCGGTCGACTACGTGAGAGTCCAGTGCCATAGCCATGACGCTAACTGCTGGTTCCCCCATCAGCATCAGGTCTTCAAGGACAAATAGGAGTTGGCCTGGAGTGAGGGTTGGTAGAAAGAGGTTCTGGACATAGGAAGCTTTGCAAAGGCTGAAGCACTGCCTCCAGGCACACCTTACACCTCCCTTCTGTGTTCCTTGTGGCTCTCCATTTCTCCCATTCAGCAGACATTCTATGGCGGACAGGGTCCAGTTCCATTCTGGGTACTTAGTTCCCAGCACAGGTCTGGCACCAAGCCAGCACTACTAAATGTTGAATGAAGTCAGACATTTGTGTAATGAACGTGGGGTCCTACTACCTTCCCGAGCACTAACCTATTTCACTAAGCCTTGCTTCCACATCTATAAAATGAGGCCCCTCTTTTTTTATTATTATTATTTTTTAATGTTAAGTTGATTTCTTCTGGGAGAAAGAGAGTGTGTGAGAGAGCCCTCTAGCAGAATCTTCATGCCATGACCCACCCCCAGTCTCATCTGGCCCAGATCACAGGCATGCATGTGTGCAGCCCATGTGCTGGGGAAGGTCCCCAGGTGTGAACCCAGGACCTCTCCTATGTGGGTCCAGCTGTGTTAGCACTGTATTACCACCTGACCAAACGGGGTTAACTCTGACAAGGCGCTGCGCAGGGGTTCTCAGGTGCTATGGTTGGAAGATCTCCAAATCCATGTTTTGGGTTTTTTTTTTTTTTTTTTGAGAGGTTTTATCGCTATAGGGCGTGTGCGCTCGCCAGACAGAGAGAGACAGAAAGCGAGAAATCAACCCCTACGGGGGATGATCATGCCGCAATCCCTTCTCTTCCATTCTCCTCTCGGGATCTTGGGCATGCACGCACATGCTCCTGGTGTGAGTTTTAAGCCACCAGGTCTGGGACATGAACCGCGGTCGACTACGTGCGAGTCCAGTGACATAGCCATTACGCTAACTGCTGGTTCCCCCAAATCCATGTAGTGAGATTTGGTCATGATGGGATTAATCCACTTGGGGCCAGCAGATGGCATGGTGATAAGGTGTGAACCCCCACATGGCTGACCATGGTTCGAGTCCCAGAGCTGACAGCTTGCTTTCTCACTTTCTCTCTCTATATAGTCAAATTAAAAAACAAACAAACAAACAAAAAACCTTTTTTAAAAAAAGAAAGGTAGGGCCTTTGGGAGGAGATCAGGATTAAGGTCACAAGGGCAGGGCCCCCATGATCGAAGCCTGGTGGGTTTATAAGGAGAGGGAGTAAGACAGACATGCAGACCCGCTACATCTCCTTCTTTCACCATGTCGCAGTGCAGCCAGAAGACCCTCACCAGATGTGGCTCCTGGGCCTTGGACCTCCAGGTGGTGAGTGGAGGAAACCGCAAACAAATCACCCGGTTTCCAGTGTTTCCTGTTGTCAGCAACAGAGCAGACGAGAACAGGTGATTTCTTTTTCTTCAGGTTTGAAACCCATCTCTTTGAAACCCTTACTAAAGAATTGGGAGACTGGTACAGTGGGTGCCTGTCACCCTCAGAGCCCTAGTTAATATTGGACCACGTTTGCTGTATCTCCTCTTTGTCTTTTTGTCTGTCTGTACTTACCTGTGTATGTTTGACTGAACCATTAGAAAAGAAATCACAGCAGACACTCTGCTGTTTCTCCTGAGACTTCTGGCCACAGGCAGCTAAGTCTGGGATGGACTTCTCTGTAGCTACAACAGCATTATCACATCCAAGAAAACAATACAATACTCAGGACAGGGCGGGGTTAAAACCTGAATTCATGCCAGGCCCTGGGAGCAGATGGGGGCATGGAGGGTGGGCGCCTGGGACCCGCCAAGGAGTGGGGTCAGTGGGTGGAGGTGGCGGTGTGCGCTGAGCCTACTGAAAACCAGAACCAACCCTTTCTGCAGCGTCCTGGCCATCTGTCCCACAGCTGTGCATAAATACCAACTTCCAATTCGCCAATTTCCCCAATTATCCCCCGCAAATTATTTACATAGTTTTTTTGGGAACCAGGATGCAATCAGTTATCACACTGCATTTGGATGTTTTTCTCTCTTACTCTAGAAGGGTCAGAGACGGGTGATGAGTAAAGGAGGCTGGAGAGGGCTGACACCCTACTCCAGGGCAGCGCGCGGGGCGGGAGAACCAAGCCCGGAATAGCAGGGGTGGGGAGGCTGGGTGCAGACTGGGCGGTTCGCGGACGGAAGCTCCCGCCCAGCCGCGCCGGATGGTCCCGCCCCCTAGCAACGGGTCAACGTCCCTCCCTGGAAACGGGCCGACGGACCCCCGCACTGCTCGGTGTTGCCGGTAGGTCGGTGAGGCAGAGGGATTGCGAGGAAGCACGGCAGATGTGCACATTGAGGGGTTTTCGAAAAGCTCACCGAAAATGCCTATTGTGAAAAAACGATGCACGGGTTTTCTATTTTCCCCTGAAGACTTTGAAGTCCCTTTTGTATACTGAGGGATGGTCTCCGGAGGGAGGAGCCTCAGACGGCTGTAGAAACACGAGGGGTGCCGCATCAAATGTGAATGCTTCGGGAGGGCAGATAGGAGGAGTAACCACTCAGTCCGGTTTGCTGGGAGCCCCTGCCAGGGCAGAGACTTCTCAGGCCCTGAGAGTCGCAGCCCATTGGTCAAATGAGAGCTCGGCCAAACCCTGGGATGTCCCTGTTGAATCTGGGGGTGGCTTACTGCCCTCCTACTTAGTCCTTCTCCCCACAGACACCCACCTGGTGAATCTCAGGGCTCCTCAGTACAGTGTGAGGACAGAGTTGGTTGTGCCAGGGGTAGGAAGCCAAATTTGGGTCGGCTAGAGTGAAGACCTCGGTTTCCAGTCCAGTCCAGACAGCTCTCGGTTGTGTGATCTTTACAAGTTCCTGTACCTCTCTGGGCCCTGACTTCCTCCTTGGCAAGCTGGTGATAATAGCAGTATCTGTTGTGAGGATCAGGTACCGTGTTGCTGTTCTTCTGTGTCTTTCATCCAAACGCTTGGCACTTGGGGTTGAATGTCAGTGAATCTAACCTGAGACCTCCTCTATTCAAGAATAGGCTTCCATGGGGACCAGCAGGTAGTGTGGTGGTTAAGGCGCTGGACATTCCCACATGGCTAACCATGGTTCAAGTCCTGGACCTGGTGGCTTGCTTTCTCACTTTGTCTCTCTCTCTGTGTCTCTCTGGTCAGAATAAAATAAGTAAATGAGTAAATAAAAAGAACTTGCATTCAAACTCTAACTGAACCTTTTGCTGGCTGTGTGACCTTGGACAGGTCATTTATCCTCTCTGAGTTTCATTGTCCTGCCTCTCAGAAATCAAGGTGATCCCAGTTTCCAGCTCCGAAGTTTAAATGAGATGATACATGAAACACATCTGAGCCCCTAATAACTTTCACTTGTTATCAACACTGCGTCTGCCAAGGCCCTCCTGACCCTTATAGGCACCAGAAGAGCAGGCCGTGTATGTCCAAGCCCGTTTTAGAGCTGGGGAGACTCGGGGATGGAGCTCTTCGGTGGAGCTGGGCCATTGGCCTCTCCCAGCCCTGCTCTATTTGGTGATTTTGTTCAAAGGTGAAACTGACACCTGTGGGTTTGCCCCATGGTGGGGCTGAGCCCCAGGGGGTCCTCTGTTCTCTAGAGTACTCTGGGAAGTGCTGGTGACTGTCAGACAGGTGGGCCAACCTCAGCGTTGTCTTTAGCACCTGCCCTGGGAGGCAGCTGCCACCAGGGAGTGGATTCAGGGAGAGTGGATTCAGGAAGCAGAGTTCCAGGGAGGAGGTCAGGCAGGCTTGACTGGCTGGAGGCTGGGTGGCCCTTGGGCTGGGTGTCTGGGGCTTCCTGCCAGAGCCTCATCTGCCCTTCCTGTCTCTTAAGTGGCCTGCCAACTCACCATCCCCTTCTTAGAGGTGAGCTCAGCTCCTGCAGGCTGCTTCGGTGCTGCGGCGTAGCTTTCCCCAGACAGCCCCAGCCACTCATCACCCTCGCACATCAGTACAGGCAAAAGCCCCTGCCCTGATCCCTCGAGAGACCCACGCCAGCCAGTCCTACCAGGGGACTAAACAGACATGGCGAGTACGAAAACCACCCGCAAGAGTGATCTATACTGCAGGCTCCTGGCTGCCTCATCTGGGTATGCAGAAGGGGTGGGAGAATGGGATGCAGCAGGGGAAGGCAGACTTGTGGGGGCCACGCCCCTACTTCTTTTTCTTTTTTAAGGTTTTTGCCACAAGGCATGACCTTGCTGGAGAGAGACAGAGAGAGGGACAGTGAGAAATCAGACACCTCCCCACTGGGGGGATGGCTACACCTCAATCCCTTCTCCATTCTCCTGGGATTTGGGAATGCACGCACATGCACCCAGTGTGGTTTTCAAGCTGCCAGGTCTGGGACTCAAACTGCAGTCGGCCATGTGGGAGTCCAGCGCCTTCACCACACCACTTCCTGGTCCACTCTATTTCCGTCTGTAAAGATTTTTTTTTCTTTTAATTGAAATTTTTATTGAGATCTTAGACTTCCTTTTTAGATCTTGCACTGGTGTCATGTGGAGATCTCTGCTTTTCCATACCCGTGTGTGATTGCTTGTCATGTTGTCTTGCCCAAGGATTGTCCCTGCTGATGGATGCATTTCTTTTTATTTTTTGGAGAGGTTTTTAGCTATAGGGCACGTGCGCTCGCCAGAAAGACAGAGAGACACAGAGAGACAGAAAGCGAGAAATCACCCCCCAGGGGAGATGGCCACACCTCAATCCCTTCTCCTCCATTCTCCTCTCGGGATCTTGGGCATGCACTCAACATGCGCCCAGCGTGATTTTAAGCCACTGGGTCTGGGACTCAAGCCGCGGTCGACTACATGGGAGTCCAGCAACATAGCCATTACGCTAACTGCTGGTCCCGGTCTGATGGATGCATTTTGAGGCTGCCAAAGCAACAGTGGCCTGGCAAGGGTTTGCTTATCCCACAGCAAACCCTCCACAAACCCTTGTCCTCGAGGTCTTGTCCTCAAGGTTGAGGACATGCTTTTCCCAATGACATCCACTGCTTCTTTTTTTAAAAAAGAATTATTTTATTTCATTTTATTTGTTTTAATTTGACCAGAGAGGGACAGATTGAGAGATAGCAAGAGAGACAGAAAGTGAGAAAGCAAGCCACCAGGTCCAGGACTCGAACCATGGTCGGCCATGGGGGAGTCCAGCGCCCTTAACCACCACGCCACCTGCCAGCCCCACTGCTTCCTTTTTAAAGACAGAAGGGTGTGTGTTTGTTGAGCTGGCTCGCAGGCCAGCCATGGTGAGTGTATGCCTTTATGTTGAGGATAGAGTCACTCGAGGGTCAGGGCCAGGGTCCTGCTGGGGAGGCCATTTGTCCCCTGGTTCCTGGGGTATGGTAGGAGGTGGGGTACTAGGGAGGCCTGTGACCCCACACTAGGGATAGGCAGGGCAGTGCTGGGGTCACCGGGCTGCTTCTGGTCAGAAGTCATTTTGGGGAAAGTCACTGAATGTGTGGGCTCTGTGCTCTCTCCTCATCTCTGCCTATTGAGAAGCCCTGAGAGGGAGGGATGGGGGCGCCTGCAGCAAACCCCCTCACTCAGCCCTGACTCTGGGGGGCTGATTTCTCAACTCAGCATTCAGGGCTGCACCGCTGCCTGCTGGTGAGATTCCCTGGCACCGAGTGTCTGTCCCAGTTAGGGGTGGACCACTCCCTTCTCCCGCCATCTCTTTGGCTACTGTGGCTGCGGCTGGCTGCAGAAGGCTGCCTAGGCATCAGCGTGTCAGGGCGCCCCTGGGGGCTGAGACAGGCTGGTACAGGCCCGGCCAAGTGACACTGGGCTCTTCCCTTAGGAGCTCTCGGCGGGGACCTCTTCCTGAGACACAGCATGGAGCAGCCTAACAGAGAGGGCTGCAGACTGGGAAGGAGCCCTCCGGGTCCTGAGTGCAGTGGTGCACCTGCTCAGGAGGAGCGTAGCCTGGACAGGATTCACCAGGGCCTGGAGTACAACATTGGGAGGATTCTCCTGGGACCAGATTATGGCTTGGCAGGCAGTCTTCCTCTGGACCCTGACCCCAAGCTCCCACCTTTACCCACGCCCCTACCTTCAGACACACTCTCAGACTTTGGGCAGCCCTGGAAGTCACCCCTGACAGCTGCTGATAAGAAATACCCCCTGATGAAGCAGCGTGGGTTCTACTCTGACATCCTCAGCCCTGGAACTCTGGATCAACTTGGGGTAAGTGTGGCAACCATCCCCTACGGAGCCCGAGCCGTCTGTGTGAGTTCCTTGGGTTCACCCTTCTATCCTTCCCATCAGTCCATCTGTTCATTTAGCTGTCCACCTACCCATCTGTCCATCTGTCCCTTTGTCTGCCCACCCATCCATCTTGCCTACCTACCCATCCATCCTCTGTTCATTCATTCAACCACTCATGTCTGAGCTCCTGCCTCGGCCAGGAAGCTCCCACCAAGCGCATGGATAAAGTAGCAGCACAGTGCTGAGTGAGATCTGAGAGCAGGGTATGGTTTTCTGGGTAAGATAGGGGCCGAGGAGAGTGCTCCAGTGCGGACAATAGCAGGTGCAAGGGCCCAAGATCCCTGAGAGGGGATAGCCCATATCATAAGGAGGGCAGAATGTGAGGGAGAGGATCGAGGGCTGAGGCTGGGGCAGGGACAAGATGGGGAGGGAGTGACCAGGAGAGGGTTCACAGAGCTCTGTAAGGCAAGGGAAGGACCAAGAGAGACAGGGTAAGGACCCTCCCATGCCCATGACGCTGGTGGTGCCGGAGCGGCCCTTGGGAGAGGAGAGATGTGCAGTGACACCCGCTGGCCTTGCAGTACCTGTCCCATGGCTCCTCCCCTGGACAGTGTTCAGCATGAGGAAGGGAACTGTGTTACCCCAGAATGGGGCAGGGCCAGGGGTGTCCCAGGCAGCCACAGCTTGTCACCCACTGTGGCCTTCGATCAAATGAGTTGTGTGACCTTGGTTCTGCCTTGCCCCTGTGCTTCTGCAGCGCTCCCTGGTGCGCTTAGGAGAGGCACCTGGCCTGGGGCGCAAGGGGGCCTCCCAGGTCCTGACTGTCCCAGGATGCTTACACATACTCACAGCTCTGGGGTTCGGTTTTAGGAAGTGTGCCGTGGCCCTCCCATGAACCAGAACTTACTGCGGCAGGCCGATCTCAAGAAGTTCACCCCAAGAGGTCAGTGCTCAGGAGGCTGGGCGGGTGGTAGATTGTTTGACCTCGGGAAGATGGTCTCTTCTTGGCCGAGAGCCACTGTTTCTTCACCTGGAAAACGGGGATGATAAGCTTAAGGTGCTTCTGCAGGCCTGACTCTGGGTGAGAGTGCAGGGAACCACCTTGGGCCCCACACTGGGCTGCACTGCTAGGGCCAAGGCCACAGTTCTCTCTGCCCAGCTGCAGTTGGAAGGGCATTTATTTGTGTATTTTCTGCCTTTCCTGGAGTGTAGGCTGGGAGGAGGCCAGGATATGTCCAAGTTGGTCCCTGCTAGGGCCCTAGCACCTAGGACAGGGCCTGGTGCAGGTCAGTGCCCAGGGATCTTTGCTGAAGTGGGGAAGACTCTCTTCTCAGGCTCCATGCGGAATCTTGGGGCTCAGCTGGGGTTGTGAGGACTGGGACAGGCCTGCAGGGTGTGGGGCAGCCCCAGTGGCAGAGGGGAGCACAGGCCCAGAATGGTGGTGAGAAATTGGGCAACTGCCCTCCCACCTGGCCGCATGTGCCCCCTCCTCCAGCAGACAGGCACCCCTTTGATCAGGCCACGTGCCCTGGGGTCTCAGCTGTCAGTCCTTTCACCCCAACCGAGAGGACTGCCCTTGTCAGCACTGCCAGGATGAGTCCTTCCAGGGCCCACTGGCTTTATGGGACCTGGGAACCCCTAAACCAGCACAGAAAGGATCACAAAGATGTGCCTTTGTGCAGTTCTGAGGATGTGCCCCTTGCTTTCTGTGATCCGGCCCATACAATGGTCACAAGCTGCAAACGCTGGGCCACGGGGGCGTTGAGAAGGGTGTCCGTGGCAGGGGTAGGGTGAGAAGGCCAGCAGCGTGGCAGCCCCACCCCAGGAAGAAGGGTGCAGAAATCCACTCTGCTGCCTGTGGCTCCGCAGGGGGGTCCCGAAGCCTGCCCCTCATCACCCTGGCTCCTGGTCAGGTGCTGGGTGTGTCCTGGCTGTGGAAAGGTGTCCTGGATGCTCAAGAGCCAGTGATGAGACAGCTGCAAACGGCCCTCGGGCTGGGTCTTTGTGGGCTGTGGCGTTCCCTGACCCGGCAGCCCTGGGAGGAGAGCGGACTTCAGCTGATAGCGAGTGGCCTCTACTGAGCCAAACATCAGCCCAGACCCAGCCTCCGGAGGCCCCCGCCC